AAATCCCAGTACTGGGCAAAAAAGAGGAAGCATTGCATGAAATGTTACCCACAGATTTGATGCAAAAGCCTTCATAGGGCTAAGGCTACATGGAGCCCATTTGGGGAAATGTTCATGTAACATAGTAAGATGTCCATCAAAAAAATTTCATTCCATGCACTATACTTTGTACACACAAATATTGCATTTTATATATGAAAAGTATTATATTCAATCCATTACAGCTATTATTATTTTTCAAACTTGGCTTTTTCACGTTTTACTCTAAGCATAGCAAGAAAGATTTTGACACAATGCAGCAACACACACACACACACACACACACACACACAGCAATAGATTCTATTTTCTATTTCATTCTATTTTCTTTTTTAAAAAATGCTGGCCTTGAGTCATTCAGTTGCTTTTCTGACCTTCAATGAGTTGCAACTCATATTTTGAAAGACACTATATAATGTAAATACTCAATACTGTGATATACATTCACACGCTCCCAATTTTCTTCCAATATTAGGACTTGCTGACTCCTACTGATGAGTCCAAAGTAGCTCAATCCACACAATTATCAACTGTCTTTATTATTATTACTACATACCCAGAAACCAGAATGAGAAAACAAAACCAAAAACCTCACACACACCTCTTGGGGTCTTATTGCAAATCCTCTTGCAAGACATGGCTCCAATGAGCCCCGCCCCCCACATCATCTCCCCACCTACTCAGCAGATACTGTAGAGTGGTGTTTAGCTTGCAGGCTTCTGAGTTGTGCTGCCAGGTTCAAATCTTAGGCTGCTTCCCAGCTAGATACTTTTAGTAAAGCCACTGAACCTGAGCCTCACTTTTTACCTCCGTAAAATGAACATAAAAGTAACTTTTATCCCCATGAGGATTAAATGAGAACCACAGTAGGGTTTTCAGTGTATCATCTTCAGCGCATTCTTGCGTAAAACTCATGTAAAAACTGTATCTTGTAAGATGGTGTAGGATGGAGATCAGAGAGGAAAATAGAGACCAAGCTGACTTCATCCACACATGTGCTAGTGCCTAGAACCACACCTGGTGCAAATAAATGCCCAAGAAATAGTCGTGGAATGAATAAATGAATGTGCTTACTCATAGTTCCCATCAAGCTGCTGACTTTAAAAAGCTCTGGTTTCAGAGCCAGAGTTTTCCAGAGTCGCCTGTGAACCCAAGGCCAGAATTCATGGCAGGCCTCTGCCACCACTCCCAGCTGGGGATGTTCATCCAGACCTGTGATGGGACATGAAGAGGCCAATTTCAGCTAAGAATGCTGTAGGAAATCCAATCTACTGGAGATCCCCGCTCTGGTCTGTGGCACTTGCTTCAGGCACTGTTCACCAGAGACTTTGAGGCTACATCTGAGTTTTTTTCTGAAGAGCTTTAATTAAAAGCCCCAATCAAAAAGCACCCCAATCAGGGCTGCAGCTCCTCCAAAGAATGGAAGTCATTTTTAGAGCGTCATTAAAATGAATAGCTGTGGATGAGTCACCATGTCCCTGGGCCATCTGCATATGTCTTCCATATCTAGATTTCAGAGGTTCTCTAACTCAAGCGTGAAGAGACAGATTCACAGAATCCCAAAGAGAACTTGAAGACACATAGATGACTGGCCTTTGTGTGGTCATAATAAACACTATGACTTGTTATTCCAGACACTCGGCACTTTAGCCCTTGAAAGAATCTGTCAAAATGAATATTACCATCACTATTTGCTAGCCAAAGTAACAGGGACTCTGAGGGATGAAGGAATTGCTAACGGACACACAGCAAGTCAGATGCGGGATGCTCCAAGTTCAGATTCCGAGCACCCTCTCTTGCCTTCTGAGGCTTCCTCTTGAAGTCTTGCATCCAGATGAATGGTCCCCATGACGGGAGACTAAAAAGTGAACCTTCTAGTATCTGCTACAGAATACCAGCCACTACAATAATCACTTCTACAAGGGTCTAAGACCACACCAACAGTGAAACAGCTGTCCAGGATCAGCAAAGTGGCCTGAACAGTAGTCACCCAAAATAGATCTCCATATCCTCATCCCTGAACTTTTATTATTTTCCGTGGCAAAAGATGTGATTAAGGATGTAAAGAGAAGAGGCATATCCAGGGTTGACAAGGTGGCTGTGAAATACAATCGATGTATCCCTATGAGAGAGAAGCAACGGGATCTTGCAGCCAAACAGAGGAGAGGATGATAAGAAGGTAAGAGGCAGAGATTGGAGTGAAGTGGCTACAATCCAAGGAAGAAGGCATTAAACAGATGAGCCTCCAACACCTTCAGAGGCACCATGATCCTGCCATGTCCTTCATTTCAGACTTCTGGCCTGCAAGGCTGTGAGGGGAACAAATTTCACCACGGTATGGTAATCTGTTACTGCAGCTGCAGGAAAGCCATAGCCATGTATACAGGTGTTCTTGGCTAGGTCTTGTCAGCTGGGGTTTATGAGGCTCAGAGTGAGAGTAGTTCTTCTAGTCTGCTAGATGTTATCTCGGGGTCTGTAAGTAACAATACCCCACAGATCCACACTTAGAGATGACACTGGAAGCTGCTTAGTTTGAAAACAGACTTAAGGTGGGAAGTCATCAAATGGATGTAGCAAAGAAATGGTGAAAGGCAGGAGTGGCCTGGCACTGGGGAGACTAGTACCTGGACTGTTGAGAAGACACACTGAGGGAAAGAAAGCTCTATATGGGGGTGGAAAGAAGATCCTCTGAATAGAGATCAGTTATTGCAGGCCAGTTAAGCATGTGGTGAGGTGACCTGTATTTTGAATGTTATTGTGTGTTTTTTCTGAGACAGGGTCTTGCTATGTAACCCAGGTTGGCCTTGTACCTACAATCCTCCTGCCTCAACTGCCCAAGTACGAGGATTATAGGCTTGTGCTCATATTTGAACTAAAGAGATCTGTCCCTGGGCTGGCTGTTGATAGAGGGTCTGCCCTCTGCCCTTTTTCTGGCCTTTGGAAAGCCAGCATGACAAGGTGAGTTAAGGAGGTCACTGGCACCCTGGAAGTTGCTAACAATTGGTGAGCTTTATGGCAAGTTTCCACCTACTTCTCCCATGATACATGTGTCAAGTTGAACAACCTCATTCTTTCCTTCCTTCTTTTAGCAAATACACGTGGAGCACCTGCCTGGCTTAGACTGAGAACCCTATGTAAAGTGGTGAACGTGAAAGCCACACTACTGTCCTTTTGGAGGACTTGCTACAGAAAGGGTTTTCAGCTGGGGTGACTTTGCCCCTCCCCTAGGGGACATTGGCAAAGTCTGGATACATTTCTGGTTGGCATGACTGTGTGTGTGTGTTGCGGCGGGGGGTGGAGTGCTTCTGGTGTCTACAATGCACAGGACAGGCCTCAGAACAAAGAACTACCCATCCCCAAACGTTAGTAGTGTTGAGGGTGAGAAATACTGTGTCCTTGAGCAGGTGGTAGGTGACACCCACTAGTGCCATGGTGGATGTGAGCTACAGGGGAAGGAAAGTTGGGGTTGCAGGAGCACAGGAGGAAGGGGCATTGTCCATCCTCACGGGGTAGGGCCATGAGAGCGTGGTGTCCACACTGGGACTGACAGAAGCATAAGGGAGTTGTCCAGGCAGAAAGAGCAGCAAGCAATGACTTTAGGTAGCCTAGTAATTTAGTACGCAGGAGGGAAAGTGAGTGTGTGGGTGAAGCAGAGGAGGGGAGGAGCAGATGGAGTAAGCCAGGAAGTCCTTCAAAGGATGGGGCCAGTCCTGCTGTCAGGAGAAGCTCCATGATATCATGTGAAGGATTTAACTTGGTGTTCAGGGTGTGGCTTTGAGTCAGTTCTCCATTTAAGTCTCAACGTCACCACCTACTAACCGTGCAACCCTGTACAAGACACTTACCCTCTTCAGTTTCTACATCCATTTTTAGAAAAATGGGGGAGAATTGTATCTCCCAAGGGTAGTGATGTTAGGACTAAATACACAAAGGTGGCTTGGCCACCTCTGCCCACACATTGTGTTGTTCTCTTGAGTTTTCAATGCTCACTGTGGGCTCAGTGTGCAGAATACAGCGAGGAAAGACAAAAAACACACCTCGCTTGGAGCACAAAGCACAGCAAAAACAAAATACCCAAAGTTCACAGAACAAAAACTAGTTCAGGCAAGGCAGTTTCTGAGAAGCTTGACAGTCCTTGATGTGACATTGTGGTGACCTTAAGAACAAGACATGAACAGCCTCCATCACCATCCGTTGAAGGCACAGATGTCCTAAACAAACACAACATATATATCCATCCACCTCATCAGTGGGAGAATAGACATCCAGTGGAGATGATAAGAAGATTGTTAGTGGCAGCCCTCCTTGGTGATGGTGACAAACATCACTCTTGCCAGATACCACCAAAAACAGAGGTCCCACAAACAGCAAGACCTCTCCATACACACCACTAAAGGAATCACCTTAATCCAATTCAATAAGCTGCTTGCTCAATGACCACCCACTCATTGATAGAGACAGGGTCTCAACCTCACATCTCTCCCGGCAGGCAACAGCTAGAAAGCACTTAGCACATTTCCACATTGATAATCCTTCATGTGCTTTCCTAAGTCCAGTCTTGGAGAACTAAGTCTTTTTCACTGGAATTAAATCCTTTTTTCTCGATATTGTGGGATTAATAGGATATCAGATTATCTGTGTGATAGCCAAACAAGTGATATTTGCTCTGCAACTGTGGTTTACCTTTGGAAATCAACTTTTGGGCTTGGCATAGTTGAATGTGGAGAAAGACACATCCAGAGCTCCCTTTTATACAGTCAATCTTCACCACACCTGACATGATATACAAGGCGCCCCAAGTGGGCATCAAGGATGGGAGAGGGGAGTCAGGAGAGCTCAAGGCCACTTTTTGGTGCCACCCACCACCCATACACTAACCACACAATCTCTCTTGATGAGGGGAGGGAGGTCTGATGTCTTAAGAGAGAAAAAGTCCAAATCACAAAAACAAGTGACCAGTCTTTCTCTGCACATACTAAGTTGCTTTTATTAATCCAGAACGGCATGCTACAGATACTGTACAGCGTGAACATTTATTCATTACAAAAATGGCTTCCAAACCATTAAAAATGAACTTGGAGTAAGAGCATGAAACGGAACAGTAACATCACAACTGTTAGGAAACATTCAAAGTATTCACAAAAAATGTTATAGTTAGCATTTTAATAAACCAGAGAAAAATCGGAGACAGTTTTACAATCGCTTCATGTCAACTACCATGGCACTGAATGAACAGGTTTCAGCTCTATACAGCATTTTGCAACATCAACATGCCTAGGTTTTTATTTTATTCTTAAAGTTCGCTACCTACTTGTATGTCATACGCGTACATAAAAGCGGCAGCTGGTTTTTCGTTTAAGAGTAATCTAATATACAGAATTTTGGCCCTTAAGGGTTTATGCCTCTTCATTTAAAATGCTTTCTGGACAATCTGCTACCAAACACATTTTGTTATAGGTGACATTAAAACTACATACAAATCTACCTATGTAACATCACAGCAAAACATGATGAACAGAAAGTTCAGCATCAAAAGAGGGAGAAAGCTAAAGTCACTGAGAATTTTGGCACATGAAGTTTTGCACACGGTCAGTCCATGTCCTAAGGGCGCAGGGCGTTTGACAAGGAGTTCATGGGGGAAACGGGCAGTTCCCACTGCTGCTCAGACGGCATCTAAAATTCCCTCACTAATTATGTTCAAGTCTTGTTTTCCTTAATGGCTTTTAAAGCAACTTTTAATGCTACTGATCCTTAATGCAACAATTAATGTCCATTTGGCGGCGTCTGGTTTTCATACAGGAAAAAAAAAAGTCAAAAGGGAAACAAAAAATATATATATACACATTTTATATATAAACTTAAAAACCTTGTACAAATGAGTTGTTATATATAAGATGCTTATGCTATGGGGGAAAAAAAACTTTATACAGTTTCAAGAAAAAGGAAAACATATTTAAAAAGGGACAACGTACAGGTACGACAAGCAACCTCTAAAGCAATAAATACTACTGGTCCAACAGCGCTGTGATTCCATTAAATGCTCAGTAGCCCCCCCCCCAAAAAAGAACACCACCACGGAACAAGGTATATTAACACACTTTAACCCCTTGTCTCTGTACATTTAAACAATAACAAGTAACATCACAATAAAAGTTGTCTCACACAGAAAAAAAAAAAAAAAAAAAGGCAACGGCACTGCATTCATTGTGCCCTTGTGGTTTAAAAACCAGGTGTAAAATGATTGGTTCGCAAGCTCGTATTTAATACAAATAATACAGAACCAACTCCTTCTGGAGGGCCGCTTCAAAATTGCTTCTCTCTCTTTTTTTTTTTCTTTTTGTTTTTTAATCAGTCTTTTAAAACTAAGCTATCCGAACTACATAACAGTTATGTATATATATATATATATTTTTTTAACACTACAAAGACTTTAAACAGCTGTTGATAAAAATTTTGGTAGAATCATGAGGTTGTTCTCTCATCTACATATTTAAAAGGAGAAATTGAAATAAGAATGGGTCAAATATTGACCAATGAACTCGATAAACATCAACTCATGTAGCCACGTGGCACAAAATTAAGAGTACAAAACAAAAGCTTTCAGAGTGGGGGGAGGGGCAAATCAAGAACCTGGAAGAAAACACTTAGGCAGGGTTCACTCTAAAGCTATTCTAAAGACTTGGTTACGAGGGACAGAGGCTGGGGCTGAGTCCCGGCCAGCGAGTTGTGGGAATGTAAGGAAGATGTTGACGGCTGTGCGAGCGATGAGGAGGGGACAATGGGCGGCTGCAAGGCGGCAGGTGGCAGGTCCAGGGCCCCGTTAGGACAGAGGGCAGAGACCTTGCCATGGGCGGCCTCAGCCAGCAGGAGCGCAGGTGGTGGAGGCATCATGGATAGGTGGGCCAGGGGGTCAGGCTTCAGGGACAGGGACAGCGGCTGGGTCTGCTCAGTCTGTGACTTGGCGTCTCGGGGTGGGGAGCCTAGCAGGTGCGGGGACGGGGGTGGCGAGTCTAGTAAGCTTCCATCTGAAGAGGGTGGGCTGAGGCAGCTGCCTTCACCTTGTATGTAGCGAACGCACTTTTTTTTTCTCCTAGAAACAGGGGGAGAGATTTATCTGTGAATAAAGGGCAAAGATGCCAAGGGAGAGAGTTATCTAAGGCACATGGCCAAGCTGAAGTCACCTAATGGATTCTCTACAGTATGACACACCTGGTGACAGGGCAGCAATTAGACTGATGCCACCTGGTTGTGTTGCTCCCTTAACCATGGCCCATGTTTAAATTGGCTCTGGCAAGACGATGTTTAAGAGAAGCCCTACCTGCTTCCCCACCTCACATCCCCCGCCCCCACCCCCCACCCCCCACCCAAATGTAAGTGAGCAGATTAAAGGAAGTCACCTGCACAAGTGGCACGGATTTGCCAGAAAGTGGCTCCGTCCAAACTGAGGCTAACAGAAACGCTTATTTCTTTGGGCTCAGACTTTCCATCCCATTTCCTTACCCTCCCTCCTCCTCAACTCCCACCACCACCACCCCCTCCAAACCCCAATGGTGAGTGTGTGTGTATATGTATATAAAAGAGAAAGACAGAGCTCCTTCCCCAGCCGCCTCTGATCAATATGAAACTCTCAAAATGCTGACTGTTGAGCCCACTGTAGCTGAAGGCAGAGCTAGCCAGAGGCTGAAAGGTCTTAACACACCACCACCATGAGGCTGCTGGGCCCAGACAGCTTTTGGGCTTGTCTGTTAAGAACCACACCAAATCAAGAGAGGTCAGGATCAGGTGAGAGGGGAGGGGGCAGGGGGAACAAAAACAAAACAAACTAAACTAAAAAAACAAAACCAACCAACCAAAACCAAAACAAAACCAAGAAACAATTTAAAAAAATAAAAGCCACCAAAAACAGGTAGAAGAGGATAAACAAAGGTGGGGGAGGGGGAAGAATAAGAAAAACAGAAAATGATCCAAAGGAACAAGAATAACTGGTTGTATGGCCTGCAGGTTGTGGATTAAATTAAGATTCAAACTTGATTATCTTATTTTATTTTTTTTAAACATTTGGGCTTCCCCTCCCCCACCCCCTAGTGAGAAGGGTTGGAAGGAGAGATGGGAGGATGGGATACAGGGGTAGCCTGTTCCTGCTAATAGGCAGAGGCCAGGAGGTGGAGGGCGCAGCACAAGCCAGTCACAGAGAAGTGACGACAAAGAAGAAGTGCCAGGAAATCACAGCATGGACCTTCCTGGGTTGGGGTTATCGTGATTAGTGTTTGAACCAGAATGACTAATTCTGCCCTGCACCAAAACCAGAGTCTCCCCTCTCTACTGCCCCATTTATGTAAGAAATAGGAAGGAGAATTTCAGAGCCTTTCTTACTTATCATCAAAGGATGAGGTCAGGGGAAAATCAACTGGAGAAATTGGGCATGTGACTTCAAAGTCTCTCCCACCATTAATCCCAGCCTGATGGGATCATACTTGGTAGGAAAGGTGATCCTGGGGCTCAACCCACTAATGCTATAAAAATAATGCAGATCTGGGAATGTATGTGCTCATCCAAGGACTCTTAACTATACAGTCAGAACCATGCTGGTAATGCTCTGTCTGAAAACAAGTGTGAGCGCTGGCCAGCTTTTTGTTGCGGCGGAGTAACTGGGATGCTGCCTGCTTGAAGGCAGACACGATTAGACAGTGTCACTGAACTATGCATGGAAGCGGGTGTACCGAGTTCCTCCTCTGGTCTGAGCCCCACAGCACTCACATGCCCATTAGTGCATGGGACATGGCTTCCGCAAGATGGCAGGAGAGGAAGGAAGGAGGGGATGGTGGAAGGGAGCATGCTCAGTCCTCCCTGCCTCCCAGAGGCTGAGACCCATGAGGCAGGTGGCCTGGGTTTCTATCTGTCCCTGCTGGGTCAGAGAGAACACTGGGAGGAGCAGGGACAGCCCCCTCTCACCCTCACTTTGGCAAGGTTCCTTTTGCTCCCTGGGATAGGCTGGCATAGACTATGGGTTCTACCATCCCAGGAACCAAGATAAATAATTAAGCCTCTCCATTTTATATCACCTTAGCCTGCAGATCAAAACATGCTCAAAAACTAAGATGTCCATGCATTTTTAAAATGGGGGAAGGAACAGTGGGGATGGCATAAGCAAAACTGAGAAAGCAAGAAGGGAAAATGAGAGAGGAAAGGAGAGGGGAAGTGGGGTGGGTGGCAGACAACCAGGAAGACAAGGGAGCGGCATGAAGCAGCATTCCAGGCTCTGTTAGGGTGGAGTGAAAAGATGGAGAAGCAACTTGGTGGGCTCAAAACAGAGTCTCGTTAAAATGCCGAACAAAATCAGAGGCCCTGTGTGGTTAGCTGGGGGCTCTGATGGATTAGAAGCATTTCTGGGGCTCTCCTCCCCACTCCCACCCTCCTAATGATGTGGAAGTTTCCAGATCATGGGGATGCATGGGCATTTTGGACACAGGACATGAGGACTATGATGACAGAGCAATGCTCCTCCAACAGAGCTGAGCAAAGGGCAACAGGACACACACACATTTCTGATGTGTCAGAAAATGCCTGTCTACAACTGCTTCTGTTTTGGTTTTTTGCTCTTCTTTTTGAAACACACATTTTTGTCCTGCTAATGTCAGCATCAAGCCTGATGTGATCATGACAAAGGTAAAAGAGTAAGGAGGGACAGGAACCAGTAACTACTTGTCTATATTCTGGACCCACTCTATCTAGGGGCTCACCTCTGGGAAGAAGGGTGGTTTTTCACAAACCCTCAGTTCTAGCTTTCCACGGATTTATTCTGAAAGGAAACTAAGGGTTCTTCCTGATTCAGTTTTGGAATGACACTCTCAATAAGATAGCAGAAATGAACTTGCTATTTAATTTATGAAAAAAACGTCCCCCGCAGAAGAAAAATGGCAGCTGGGAACATTGCAATGGGGCTGAGGCTGGAAGAATGAGGAGGGCATGTTGAACTCTGGCTCCCATGACCAGGGCCTCCTAACCTCTTTGACAACAGAAAGGCTGCCATATAGACAACCCTTCTAAGCTGCGTTTTAGAAAACCATGCTGCTGAAGCATGAAGCAACTATAAAGATTTGGGGTTGGCAAAAAGAAAAAAATCAAGAAAGTTCTAGTCTAGGAAAATAGCCCACCATGGTTTTAAGTAAGGTGTGGGCCATATCTGGGAACAGGATGTCTGTCCCAATCAATGTGGGTAAGAACTTCTGGGGCAGGAGTGTACAAGTCTAACTTTGCTGTAACTACCTCCAAAACAAAAAGGGGATTCATGAACCACCACTCATTCCCATGAATAAAATCAACACACCAGGCACCTGAACCAGCCTTATTTAGAGGCACACACAATGGTGTCAGTTGTAAGATTTCCGAGGAGCCCTCTCCTTGTTGTGGCCTCTGTGGCTGGCCAGTGACTTGCCATGGTAGAAAACCTTCCACCATCTTCCCACTGGGCATGTGTAAAATATTGATGGATTACTGTCTACATGGGGTAAGCAGAGCCCCTGTCTTCCCTAGCTTGTCCTAATGAGATACCTAATGTCCTTTGTCAACTATATCAGAAACTCTTCTGTGGTTCAGAGAACCCCTCAGATAAGGTTGAAAGGACATTTGTCCCCTCTGTGAATGCTTCCAGTTCACAGGAAGATGGGAATTCCTCTGCTGCTGGGAGTCCATCGAAGGCCCCAAATCCCTCATTCATGGGGGGAGGGTCACCTGTGTAGCCTGTCAGTAAAGATTCGCAGGCCCTCTCTCCCCTATGGTCTGTGTGGTCAGCATGAGGCACACATCGACGACCTCGCTCATACTGGCATCAGAGAAGGGGGTCAGAGACACAGGAGACTTGTGGGCATGCATGTGATGGGATGAACATCTGAGCTAACGTCTAGACATGGAGCACGTCAAAGGCATGGAGAAGAGGGACACGTGACGAGGGAGGCACTACAAACAGGGATGCGTGTTGGGGGTGGGGGTGTTGAGATACCTACCATCATAATATTCCAAATTCAAAGACTGCTTGTATCAGAACAAAGAAACAACAAATTTAACCAAAGATGGTCATTGAAAGAAAGGAAATGAGACAGGAACTAGTTGGTATCCCTCCACCAAGAAGGAAGTACAACACCTTCCCTGAGAACACAGGTGGGGTGGAAAACTGCAGGCAAAACATGGGTGCTCAATTTGGGCTCTTCTGGGCTGACCTGATTCACTTTGGGGGAGCAATGCTCTGTCAGTAAACAATCAGATATGATCTGAACTCTGCTGGCCTGGTGACCCGCAGTGTGTGACCGACTGCCATCTCGCTGCTTGCAGACCTTTAGCTGGGGCATGCCACTCAATGCCACGTCTTTTTCAGCACTGTAAAACCAGGTCAACTAACCAGCAGGAATATGTGTTTTTTTTTAAACATAAAACAACCAAAGAGGAAAAAAAGTAAAAGATAACATAAAAATAAACAGCCTGCCCCAGGACACTTCTCCAAATGTCTTGACTCCAAGTGCACGGGAATGCTACCGGCTGACTGCCAAGTTCTGTCTCATGCAGACCTCAGGAAACGGTGGCCTCTCTGCTCAGTAGATGGGCCACCAGGGCATTCATCAGGCCGGGCCAACTGCAGGACTCTGGCTTCAAAAGAAAAGCACCAGTGCCCATCCTTGCTTGTTAAGGTCTTGGGTCTTGGGGCTGCCACCAGGGGTATGTTTTTTCGTAAGAGCAGGGGGACAGAGAGGACAGGAAAGTGGGGGTGGGGGAGGAAACCGCATGACATTAGCAAGGAAATTTTGAAGAATGAGGATCGTTACTCATTGATGCCAGTGGGGGAAAGTAGACGGGAATGAGGGCCAAATAATCATCCCACTAAGGTAGCAAAAGGACAGAAGGCTCTGATTTTTCCCCGAGGCCTCGCAGTGGTGATGTACCTGCAGGGTTTGCACCATAAAGTCTGTCGGTCAAGCCCGAACAGTGCTCGACACTTCTTTGGAGTATTTGCATCTGTTAGCATAAGGTAAACACAAAAAACACAACACAATGGTGGGTCGTGCTCAGTTGGATATGAAACCTCAGCTACAGCTTACTCGTCTTCCGCATCACCTTGGCTCTACTTGACACTCTTCCCTTACCAAGGGCATGAAAGGAAAGGACGTCTATGAGTCAAACGAAAAAAAAATCAAATAAAACGATAACACACACACACACACACAAAAAAAAAACCAAAAACCAAAAAAAAAAAAAAACAACCAGAAACCAAAACAAAACAAAACAAAAAAAACAATGAAAAATAAATCAAAACAGAGAGAAGAGGCGGGGAGAAGGTGACGTCTTTTGCTTCTACCTAGGCCAGGATGAGGATCCTGGGCTGTCACAAGGAAGGGGGCTTGGCAGGCCGTGTTCCCAGGGCGAGAGCGCGCTGGGGTCTGAGTCCTGGCCGAGGAGGCACACAGGATGCTGTTTTACAGTGGCACTTTGGCTAGCAGCAGCGGGAGAACAAGCATATCCCTGATCGAGCCCACATACTGGCAGTGTACCGCTCCCTCACGTCCTACAATCCACACACAGAGCTACAAAGCAACAGGCCAGAGGGGACAGTGGAAGAGACCAGCTGCAAACCAGCACAGCGGACCTGGGAGACTATACACACCTGCAAGGGCCGCACCAGTTATTCTGTTGATCAAGGCCAAAGCGCGCTCGGCATTTCTTAGGAGCGCTCAGGTCTGAATGAGTTCAAGAAAGGAGCGAGCAGAGGAGGAGGACGAGGGAGAAAGGGAGAGAAAGAGAGAGAGAGAAAGGGAGGGGGGAGAGAGATACAAATAAGAAAAAAACAAAAATAAAAAAGGGAATAAATCAATGACCTGGTTACTAATGGCAAAATACTGACTTTCGTTCTTTTTTTAACTTTAATTAAAAAAAAAAAAAAAGATAAAAAAAAATCACATTCTTATTCAACTGGTGAAATTAGCTGTTGCAAATAAAGCTGCAGTATCCCTTCTATAAGGACTGTCTCAGATTCAGTTTGAGCTGACAAAGGGATGTTAGATACTGAAGAACTCATTTCATCTCAATTACTTTTCCTCTTTTTTAGTTCTGCTTTTCCTTTTTTTTCCTCTCAATTTTCTTTTTCTTAAAGAAGAAAATAAAGCGAAGGAGGGAATTAAGTTTGTAACATGCTTTTTTCTTCTGAGTACAACAGTTTAAAAAAAGAAAAAAAACTACAAAATAAAAAAGAATGAAACGAAACAAAACAGAAAGAAATAAAGAAAGAAAAGGGTCGTGGTATTGGGATATTGCAGCTTTTGGGTTTGTCTTTTCTTTTTCTCTATTTTCATTAATATTAAGGGAGGAAAAAAGGAGGGTCACAGGCTGTGTGAATGAGCTGTTAGGGGTTAGTTAGAAGCTCATAGCAACATGGAAGCAGACACGATCAGTAAAATGCTAGCGGATTTGCAAATTATGAGCAGGAAAGCAAAAGGAAGAAAATAAAATAAATAAAATAAAATAAAAAGCAAAGGAAAAAATAATCATACTGCGGATGCATGCTTGCGTGAGAAAATTTAGTGGGAATAATGGAAAAAAAATGCCATTAGATTAAGGAGGTTTATTACTGAATTCCTTCCATTTTTTCTCTTTACCAGTCTCTTTTAAAGAAATACTGCATATTCAATTTGCACAGTTAGTTCAGCTCTAAACCACTGTCATCGCTGCTTCAACAACTGTTATGGGGAAAATAAATAAATAAATGAAACAGAAGTTAAAATAAATTAAAAACAAAAAAAACAACAAAAGCAACGGGGGGGAGGGAAAAAAAAAAACTCTACCGAAACATACAAAACTGTTGTAGATGGTCACTTTAAAGAATGTTCAAATGTCATACGTGTTTAATGTTAATAAAATTATAATGGCAAGAAAAATTAAAAAACAGTTTATCAACTATTTTAATGACTCAAAATGACATTAGCACCTGTAATCGGAGGAAGTGAAAGGCAAGGATTTAGGAAACATTCGCTGTGTTCTGAAAAAAAAGAACAAATTATACAAAGCCTTCAAAATTTTTGTTTGTTTGTTTGTAAAAGCCTGGTCTTGTTCAAGGGAGCACTGAGATTGCCTATGCAGTATTTCTACTTTCTTCTAAAGAATGACAAACCTCCTTAATTTAAAATGGGTGCAATTTACCACTGTAAAGGCATGCATCAGAACATTCGGGAACAGCCCGGTTAATACCCAACACTCACACACACCCCACCTAGTCCCCTAACCCTCCTCATCCCTTCTCAGACACACACAAAATAAGCAGACTGTCTACATCCCGGCAGAGGCATGCCTACCGCTCGCTCTCCAGTTACAGGCTTTGCCGTGATTTAAAAACACATTCCACTAGAATTACAATGTGCTTTTCATGCAACAATGGATGTTACTAGCTTTAAAAGGGCAGTCATGAAGCAATTAATTAAAATGCATAAAACAAAAAGGCTGGCTAAGATGGGTTCCTCCACAATGTCCTGGCCTTGAATTTCTCCTGCCTTCCCCAGATGGAAGCCTGACATAAGAGTGGCCCTCCAACTATTGTAACTTACCATTGGTCTCCCCTGGCTGCTTATCCCTTTTCCTCTTCTTCTTCTTCCCCTAAATGGACAGATGAAACACAGGGCATTAGTTCAAGCAACAGAAAGGAGGAGGCTCACCTGGAAGGAGAAGGCAGAGGAAGAGACCATCTGTCATCTCCAGCCACACTTACCCCCACGTCTGTCCAACCTCCCATTCCTTAATCTAAATGCCCTTGACTTGCGCCCAGGCTGAAGGATACACACTTTTTAGGGGTTAGAGGAGGGATCAGTGAGTGATTAAGGAAAGATCTCATGGCCTCCATCCATCCCCAACCCTGATCCAGACATCTGATTCCATAAAATGGAAGAGGAGAGGGAAGAAAGGAAAATTTGCAGAGTGGTGGAGAGCCTGGGTAGAAAGCAGTCTGAGAGTGCACCTCTGCGGGGCAAAGAGATACTGCCATGTCTGCATCAGCCAGAGCTGCCTTGCCTATCCATTCAACTCTCCCTATTAAGGCCAAAAAGTACCCTATTCTGAACCAAGAGAATGACAGCTATACCTGGAGCTTCTCTTAGCCCTGTAGCTGGGTATTGGTGTTAAAAGAAGGAAGGAAAAGGCAAAATAGGAGTAGAAATTATCTGGGCTCCTTCCCCCCATTATCCTCTATGTAATTCAGACCTTCTCCATTTATGATAGAGTACATCCCAATAAAACCACTGTAAGTCAAACACATCGTAATTTGAAAATGAATTAAATACACCTAACCTAGTCAACATCACAGCTTAGTCTAGCATACCTGACAGGCGCTCAGAACACTTCCATTAGCCTGTAAGTTAACTCTTCAAACACAAAAACTATTCTCTAATGAAGTGTTGAATGGCTCGTGTCATTTAATGAACACTTTACTGAAAAGTAAGAAACAGAATGTTTGTATGGTAGGCTTTTACATCACCATAGTTGAAAAGTTGTAAGTAAAAAAAAATCCATATGCGTATTCTGGGACTCGTTATAATGGCTTAGCTCCTAATAATTATTAAAATTATTCATTTTATAATGGCTAGCTCCTCACTGTAATAGCCACTCCTAATAATGGCTACCATTTGTTGAGAGCATACAAGGTGCCAGGCATGTCTAAGGCTGCTATGCAGATGGACTCATTTACTCCTCACAATAACCCTATACAACACGTATTTCCACCATTCCAATGTTACAGATGAAGAAACTGAGGCACAAGAAGGACAGGTAACTTTCCTGAGGTGGCACAGCTAGCAAGCCCTCCCTCAACCACAAGGCTCTGCTACCTACTAGGTACCATCTGGTCCTCCACGGCAGCCCTTCTTTAATACATCAAGGGGGATGGGCTGCATGACGTCATTCCCATCCTCTGGCCTGGCCCTCCCTGGTACTTTGACAGTCTGCTTGGGTTCTGTGTGTGGAGTGGGACTACAGGGCTCTAGGGAGTATTTGCCTCATTCTAGGTCTGCAATTAGTTCTCCCTTCCCTTCCCTCCACGCCTGCCCTGTCATGTGATTCAGAGGCCTGAATTAAAAACTCAACAGAAACAGCTCAGTGTTAGGGTGGCAGCACCCACAAACCCACAGCCTCACCCTTTCCAGTTCCCTGCTGCATACTTGGGAGGCACCCGAAGAGAAAAGTCCTCTGTCCAGGGAGCTGCCATTTAGGATGCATGGCTGAGGTGTTTGTGACTGAGCAAAGGGCTGTGTAGACTAAAAGCTTCAAGAAGACAGGGACTGTGTTTTAATAAAAGAGGACATGAGAAATTAATTAACTCTACTTGGTCTCAAGGGAGGCTGGCCACCCCATTTCCTCTTTAAAAGTAAGAAGAGGAAGAAAAGGCCTAATATCTGGCAGTGAGTGAAAGAACTCAGAGAAACAAATGGTGTAGGATTTACCTTTTTATCCAATGTCAAAGAGACAGAAAGCAAAGAAGGTTCTAACGTGATGTAGGGATTAGATACTACGATGGTACCCAAGTGTTTTCTCTTGTGCTTTAAGGAAGAGCTAAGCCTGACAAGGGGGTTGCTTGGTTCAAATGGGGCCACTTGATTCAATTCTATTTTCCTAAGGTAGTGACAAAAAGGCTTTTGCCACCCTTGTGTGACAGAGCAGGACTATGAGGGTGAGGGAGACTAGCTCAGAAAACATTCTCCAGAAGAACCTTTTGGACTTTACAACAACCAAAGTCATTTGCAGAAACTCCTGGATTGAGTTAGTTAAAAAGGAATGCTAACAAGTTTCCACCACAATCACATCCATAAAAACTTCTGTTCTGGTATTCCTGTCCCTAATCTGTCCAGAGGGCCATGGAAGGGGTGAGTGAGCGTGCATTCTCAGGCCTGTAAAAAAGGACTGTCAAAACAGGAATCTGATGGCACCTTTTGAGGAGATAAAATTCCCACAGTCTAAATCCAAATCACCTCTAAACCCCTTCCAAATCTTCTTAGGGCTTCCTATTACTCAAACCCCTCCAGAATGGCAGAACTGAGCAGAAGTCAGGTCAAGAGCCTCGTGGACTTTTTGAAACCTAGAAAACACGTCACAAAATGCCCCAGGCAACACTGTCTAAATGACTCCTCAACAAGTCAAACACAGCACTCTTTTCCTGCTATCACAAAGTCTGCCTTGTTCCTTTGTGGAGATTTCACCCTGCACTATTCCCGGGGACCTTCACATAGTGTCAAATGTAAATGGCACACCCCAGGGCTGGGCCAAGCATGATCTGGGCAGTTGTACATGAAGGCTCTAAGGTGACCCAAAATGTCTACTGGGAACAGGATATCTAGAGAGAAGTTGATTCCTCTCTGAGGCACCACTCTAGATTACTCAAAGAGTTAGATCTGCAGTAGATAGAAGCTGGAGATGAACTCTAAAGACTTCTGACCTGAAGCCAGGAGGCACCTGATGCTGGGTAGTTTTACCTCAGGGTCAGGCGAAGGTGCACAGTGAGCCTTTGGGAGGGCATTAACTGTCTCATCCTTGTCCTTTCAGCTCCAGAAGAAAGGCTTACATGCCAACGATGAGTGGAAAGGTCCCAAGTAGCTAAGACCCTGTGATGACCATCTATCAGCAACAAGAGCTCTCAGCTCAGCAAACGTGCTATCAGAGTGGGACTAGCACTACTTTCCTGTCTTAGCTCCCAGGAAATACAGACTAGAGCTTCCAGCTAGGGGTGTGGGGCCATAGGGACAAGGGTGAATGAATGAAGTGAATGAATGGATTTATGGCAGTGAATCCCAGCAGTGTTGACACTCCCTTCTCCCCGTCTACACAGCAAGCAGCAGTGAGCAAGCACGTTTAAAGGTATGAGAATAAGAAGGAAGGGAATTTTAAATCACTCTCCAGAGCAGTAGAAAGTTGCCTTCACTCAGGGCCACACAGTCATGAAGATATTGATGACTTCCAGGTGGATGGGCAGTTCTGGGAGAGCAGACTTAACTCACTGAATGCCCATAGTGCCTTGTATGCAGGAAATTTGCAACCTGTAATAGCGTAATGACCTTAATCCTGCACATAGAGACCTTCCTCCCCAGAAATGTGCCAATGGGACAGTCAAGCAGGGAGTGCTGGTGGGGACAACTATTTTCTTGGCTGCAAGACCTCCACAAGGGGAGGGGAAGCCCACAATGGCATGGAGACAAGTTTGCTTTTTGCCCTCTGAGTGGACAGCAAAATCACTTCATGAAACCAAAAGCCATGTGATAAAGTATTGAGCAAAGAAAGAGGCACCTCACCCACCTAGAGAGGGAAGAAAGCCGAGAACTTGAGTGACTGGGCAAAAGGCAGTATTAGAAATAATGGTGAGAAGTGACAGAAGTCTCCAGAAGACAGCAAAGTCATGGCAAGAGAGAAATTGTGGTGTCAATATAATTAATAAAAACAATAGCCCTACTGGGCTATTTTCTAACCAAGATGGCAAATTGGGCAAAACCTATAGCAACACAGAGACCAGTAGCACACACACCACATAACAAGCACCCTTCTCTACTCCTCTGGGGCCGGGAACCACTGCATCTTTCCTGCCAAGATTACTTTCAGGGACATTCCAATTATGCCACTCTTAGGATGAAGCAAACTTCCAACTCCTACTACATCCTGGCCTAAGGTGCTGTTTTTCCCTTTCCTTCTTAAGGCGGGGCTAGGGGTGTATCTCAGTGGTAGAGCATTTGCCTAGCATGCATGACACTCCTGTTCAATCCCCAATATTGCAATCAATCAATCAATCAATCAGTCAACGGCACAGCCTTGAAGGAAGACCTGTGAGAAATAAACTCGCTCCATCCTCCCCTCCCCACTGGTCTTCCTTATAAAGCCACACCACCGGTGACTGACGAAGAGCATGGGACCTTAATCTGAAACTTATGCCCCTGTGAGCATATCCTAGAGCCCCATCTCTTCTGAAAAGTAGACAAGGTTTTGAGCTCCAAACTGGCCTCAAGTAGAGCCCTACACTGGAACATGGACACCAGCGTCCTACTCCTCCAGACTGTGCTGGCAGAGCCACACTGAAAGCCAGGACATGGCCTTCCAATTGAGGGAGCGGGTCAGATGCAAATGGTCCCAGAAGGAGGCGGAATGAGTGGTTCCAAGGCCTGATTCAAGTTGGAAGTAAACATTTTCTCTGTGCAGACACATAAGACATCTCTACAGACTCAATCTTATGGAAAATAATCCACCTACATAGTTATCCCGTGCAGACCAGCCTGGGTACAGCTGCATGTGAAGCTGTCGCTCCTTCCGGGCCAGCTCATAGTACTTTGCTTGCTCTTCTCTGGACAGTGCATGCCACTGGAGGGGGCAAGAGATAGGGATGAGAGAAACATCACAAAAACTTCACAAACTATGCTACAGCCAATGGACAAGTAATGCATCTCTGGGGGCAAAGTTCATCCAGTAACGGTCAAATTTGCTTGCTGGGTCCGGGCTCTACCTGGAGTGCTCAGACAAAATGGATCTTTTCCGTGCTATTCTGTCTCTTGCTTTCTCTCTTTGGGGTGGGGAAGACTAAGGTTATGGCTGTTCTGAGTCCCCAGAAGGCAGAATGACTCATCCTGGCCCCATGAAAGCCATTCAAGGATTCAGACCAGTTGAGGGGAAAGGACTCTGGAGGGTGGACAGGGATCTTTTGCCACCTGACCACTGCTCCCAGTCCATTCTTCCCCCTCACCATCCCATGAAGGGGTCACCTACCCTGCGCCCAAGGATCTGGTTGATGGCCGCACTTTCTTTCAATGTGCACTCAGCCACGACCTTGGCCCTCATTTCTTTCATATACAACATGAACGCATTAAGGGGCTTCTTTATGTGGGGCTTCTTCTTTTCTTCTTCCTTTTTGGAGTCCTGATGCTTTCTGGATATAGACAAAACAGACAACACAAACAACCCAATAAAAAACCACAGGGTCCAACTTCCTCCCAAGCAGAAAGCTCACATTCCAGGCTCCTTCCCAGCCAAGCCTGGCAGCTTGGAATAAAAAGCTACCACTTCAGCCTTTTCCACCCCAGAGCATGAACAAAAATAGCTTGGGGAGGGCACAGAGCAATAAGGGAGTCTGTAATCACTTCCTCAAGGTTCACAAAAAGACACTTTCTCCAAGGCAGAGAGGAGTTCTCTGTCATGGTCGCAAGGATTCTCTCTGTGCTTGCAGAAAAAGCTCCAAAATGTTCCATTTCAGGGTTAGGGGCCGGAAATGTTTGCAAATCCCAGTGCACCCAAGTACGCACAAAAAGAGCTCTGTTCTAACCCACAAAAGGATAATCAGTGAAAACAACCAGAGTGCATTTTCTCTCTCTTGATAGGGGAACCTAGAGCCCACAAGGAATAGGTGGCTTGCTGGAGTAAAAATAGGCAAGGCTGACCATGGGCGGAAAGTCACCATGGGTGGAAAATCACCACAGGTCTGCTCAACACCATGGCGAAAGCACGCGGTCACAAGGGCAGCACTTACGAGCTATGGAGTGAGCCGACGTCACTCTGGGAGGATTCCTGTTTGACTGTTGGTGTGACTATGGCCGGGTGGGGTATGCCGGTCGTGTGTAGAGTATGATGTGGTGGGACCATGTGGGGAGGGAACCTAGAAGACAGAAAGCTGTGTAAATCGTCAGAATCAAAATGAATGAATGAGGAGGGATGTGCGCACATAATTAAAAAAAACACAAAACCATGTAATATTCACGTGAAAGCAACCCAAGGCATATGAAACCTGTCAGCATTAATTAGTGATAAATTAAACACAATGATTCTCAGAATGTCATTAAAGCCAATCTTCCCCTTCATTATTGTTACTGACATAAGACATTATGATTTTTTTTAATATCTTTAGCAAAAGACAAATTCAACTGATGTACTTGGGCAGAAAAGTGGGCTTGGACTACCTGCCGGAAATGACACGTCCACTTGATTTCTGAGGCATTATTAGTAGCATCTAAGAAGACAATTTCCTCAGTCCTACTCAGCTCTTGAATGAAAGGTGAAACCTTCTGGTGTATATTGACAGCTAAGTAAAATATTAACGTAGCTGAAATACACATAGATTTTTGACAATGCTATGCATGCCTCATTAGGACTCATTCTGCAGGTGGAGTGCAATAAAATTTTTCTTTTTCTTTTGTTGCTGTGCCCATCATTTGACAGGAATGGGAGAGAGTGAGGCAGAAAGAGAAAAATTAAAAATACTTCCTCTTTGGTTTCCATAATAGTCAAGGACAGTTCAAATAAGTTTGTATTCTTTCATAGCAAAAAAACGAATCTTTGAATTCTGGTTTCTATGACCTTTCTCCTCTAGAATTTAGGGTTCCTATGTTACTTTTAATTAATATGTTGTCTATGTATCATTAAAACATCTTCCAAATGACTATCAAAATTCCAGTAAAGTTTGTGTTTTCTCTTTTAATACTATTTTGGGGAAGGTTCTCTATAACACATTTTAGTGCCTGAATTGATATTTCCCAACCACGCAAATGAGAACACAAAGAGCTAATTTCAAATGACTCTTGGTCCATCTGCAAATTGACAACTAGAGGGACAAATGGCCTTTTCTTTCTGTGGTGTGCTTGAAGTCCCAATGACTTGTCCTAGGTAGATGAATCCCCTAGCTTAAAGTTGCACATGATGCAGAGAAAAGTAGGGTGAAGGGGAAAAAGGACAGGTCCCCAAAGAACACTAAATGGCAGCCTTGGGCTCCACCTTGGAGATGATAGAGTAAGCCCATGGGGAGGCTGTCTAGGTGAAAGGCACCTGAACCATGCCAAGGGTTGCCTTCCTGACAAACAACGTGCTTGTTAGAAAGCCAGCTCAGGTGGGATTGAGTGGTCTAAGTGAGGATTTATCATGACAGTTCTTCAAACAATATTCATCTTTCTGTAAGTGGATTGGGCATAGTTTTTCATTTAACCAAAATAATGTAACATGTTAACTTGAAAAATGATTTTAAAATTAAAGAACAAATAGTCTACTCAGATCAACAGAGACAAAAATATCAATGAAGAATGCTGATCTCTGCAGCCACCATAGATAGCTGATTCAGAAATTCCACCCTAAGGCGGCCCTGTCCTGTAGTTGCCTTTACAAACTCAAGCCAGTGCTAAGTTTGATATCAGTAACATGATTTTTTAAATAAGAATCACAGAGAGAAAGAGGGCAAGAGAGAGAAAGAGACATAACCATCCTCTAGCCCCTTCCCTTGAATAAATGGAAAAAAGAAAAGCCCTTGGGAGTCACTCAGACTCCCAAGTTATACGCTGCACCCTGCCATGGCTCGAAGGCCTCAAAGGAAACGTAAGTTAAGAACACGTGTTCTAGGAAGCTGTTGGGTGAAGGGGTGGGTGGAATGGAGGTTTTTACTGTGAATGTGAAAGGCTTAACATTCCTCAAATACATATGTTCCCTTACTGTAGGAGAAGACTATGTGTACAGATGTATGAGGGAGGAAGAAAAACTGTGTGTGTGTATGTGTGTGTGTGTGTGTGTGTAACACACATATACCAAATATCAAGGAAAGACACCACCATTTGAGTACATTTTGAGGTGGGGACAAATTTCAGTATAGCCATGAAGAACAAACACTTCTGAGCTCCTCTACTTATGTGCATACTCATCTCTGGCTGAGAAAGACTGCATGCGTGTCTATGTGGCTCATGTGCACACCTTGGCTCAAGAAATTCCTTTCTGCAGACAACTATTTCATGAAATGCAATAAACACCCTAAAAATTCTAAGCAGCTCATTATATACCCCCGTCTGCTTTTATGGCTCCAAGCCAGAATATAATGATGAACCTTAACTTGTTAAGGACAACTAATTTTTGTTTCTGGCTGTCTCAGGGGCTTCTCTTGGACTCACTCTCACTTTGCCTCACTGTTGACACGTTTCTGTTAACTGGATGTCATCTGCTGGCCTTGATTTTATGCACAAGCAGTAGGATGCATTTTCCCGTGCAACAATCCTGCTTTGAGTTGCATTAGGTTTGTCATTATTCTCTCATTTTCCCCCTTGCACTTGTAACATTTCATCTCTTCCTGCCTTATTTTTTGTGAGCCACGGTGCACCCACATTATGGTTTATACATGATCTCACTCCCTTTGAAGCTGGCAGATTTCAGAGCCCGCTCTCGTCAGGAGAAGAGCCTTGCACCAATTTAGCAGGCTGAGGGCCCGGAGCTCCAACATCTCAATCTAAAGGGGGTCACAGGTGGCACAAGTGAGTGTCAGCAAGAGCTGTTTAATTGCCAATCTAGGCTTCTCCATGGTGTTTAAAGTATAATGACCCATCACTTAATTCTGAGAAGTCCTGGCCTCGCTGCTCAATAGAATGAATATCAAAGGGTGTTCTGGAACAGGGCAAGCTGCCTACATCTGCTATAACTGCCATAAGTATAATAGACCTATACTTCTGTCATCCCCTTACCACAATAATGTATTTAATTTGCTGTATATGCTTTTTAACTAGCTACCTTTCGTACGGCCTACCTGGGGAATCGGCTGTCTCCCCACCTCCCTGCACCCAGAGCCCCTAACCTTTCTTCCCACCTCGCCCTTCCTTTCCTCCACCCCACTGCCCACCAGTAAACCATGTGCTAACCGCCTAATGATAATTCAATCGATAAGATTAACCCCAATCTGTATCCTATGATTACTTTACCACTTCCAACCTGCAGATACACTGAATAAACAAAAGTGAAGAATGATCAGGTGCGGTATATGAACAGAGGGATAGGGAGGCTGAACTGCAAATCATAGTAGCTCCCCTCTCCTCCTGGGAGGCTCCCCATTTGCTCCCAGACTTGTGGGGCTGTGATGACATTATTTAACAACCATAACCTTCCACTTCTCACTAGACAATAGGATATAGAACCCATTTTCCCATCTAACTAATATTGGTACGCATTTTGAAATTTAGTTAATGTATCACACGTGGGAAATGGATGTTTCTAATTCACAATGTAATTACAAATGTGAGATATGTTATAGTTTGCTTTTCTCAGTGGGTGTAGGTCTCACTCCGCCCCTCGCCAAATTGCTGTTTTGTAAGTAGGAAAAGTGTCATTGTGGCCTGCCATCTTAGCCCTTTCTCTGGTCTTGGCTCTCCGTGTTGACTACAGAGAATGAGGGGAGAGGCTGGGGAGCAAGCAGCATTCTTGCCTTGCAATGCATGCTAATTTAATTATGTGCCATCATCAAAATGGATTGGTTGTTTCAGCCCATCAGGAAAGTCTAAACCTCCACCGATTTAATTAACTTGACTGAAAATCAGATGAACAGAAAATAAAACTATCATTAGAAGCAATTAGTGACTACTTAAACATACTGCTGCCAACCAGTTTGTAAATAAACTAGCAGTCACTGAAAAATTAGCCAGGATTAATTAGAGGGAGGAAAATGAGAATGGGGGATATGTGTGTAGGTTGTGTTATGTATTTATATGTTTCAATATACTATACAGGAATATATACACACATTTTTTTTTTAAGTGTTCAAAAACTTAAGAGTTGTGTAGGCCAACAAAATAGCCACCAGACACATGTGGCAACTGAGTGCCTCAAATGTGGCCAGTTCAAATTGACATGTGCTATGAGTGTAAGATACACATCAGATTATAGAAACTGAAGGGAGAATTTGTACAGTGAGTGCCTTGCTGAAATGACAATATTCTTTGAGGCCATACTGTACTGGGTTGAATTAACACCTATCACTGAAAATAATTTCTTCTTTTTAAAAATACTTTTAGGTACCAGGAAATGTAAAAGTCCTATGTGGTTCACATTAAACTTCTATTGGATCGTGGTTCTAGAAGGGGTGGAGATCCAGGGCTTTCTCATTGTCTCTAAATCAGAATCTAAGCTTTGGAAAGACCAATATTCTTTCCCCACGATCTTTGTATAATAATAAAATTACTTCCAATCCTCCTTTCTTACCCAGTATAGGACAATAGAGAAATGGCACTTTTAAAAGCTCCACATGTCCTAACCACTTTCACTTGCTTTCTTAATCTGGGAAAATACATTGCTCCACTGACCAACTCCTAAAAATCTGACCTTGAAAGGCATCACCTACTTGGAAGCTTAGGGAAATTTTCAGGATTTTCTAGGAAGAGTTTAATGCTGAATCAGCCTTACACTATTAGGCCCACACAGAGATGCAGTCTCTGGGTGGCCTGGTGGCTGTCTAGAGGGCTTTCTGAGAGGGTTACCCATGGCCTTGGTTGAAGGCCTGGTCCTTGGAACTTACCTGGACATGGAAGCATTGACGGTCAACGCTGTGGGGTAGGGGTGTCTGAATCCTCCTGTTGTGATTGGGTACACTGGTTGACCTTGCCTACAAAGAAGTGGTACAAAGTGAGAGACTTGAAATGAGGCAGGGGGTGGGGACAAGAAAAAGAAGAACAGGGAAAAGTTCTCTGCACAGTAAGCTTTATTCTCATTTGATCAGAACAAAAATCTTGGGGATTGTACAGGAAGGATCAAAGGGAAGAAACACAGAACAATTTGAATGCCATAAATCTGATAGGAATGGCTAATTAAATTTTATAACCTCTGCTTATGTCAATAGAGACCCTCTCCCCAAGCTGAAACTAGGTGTTTTGTTGTAATAATTAAAGGCGAAGTCTCGCTTGCTTTAATGGAGTCATCACACTAATTGAGGGCTACACATCCAACGGAAAACAATAATGAATGTAAATTTATACCAAAATAAAGTACAGTGAATCAAAGGACTTCACTTGCGCTTTGGGCCTCTTTCGGTATTTAGATCTCGGTGAGAAAACATTAAATTAACAGAGCTTAATTTGTAGCCTTTTGTCAAATTAACAAGTGTTGACAAGAGTTACCGGGGGGGAGAGTCCCCAAGAAGAATTGTGGGTAACCAATAGACAATCACACTTCATTACAATAATTAAAAAATACAGCAACATGCAAAATAGCATCCTCATGAAAGACACACAACTTTTCCTGACAGAGGGTTGTCTGAGTTGGCTATTCCTTTTTATCTAGCCTTCAGTACCTCCCCATCAGCTGAATGGGGCAAAATGAATTGAGAACTATCAGGGCCCCATCCATTTTAGAAGAAATGGGTCACCAAGTACAACACCACAAAAATAAGAAGACAAAGAAACACAAATGCTACCCAGGGCTGGTATTGGTATACCTACTACATAGTGCAATCTGGTGTTTTGTTTTGTCTGTTCAACTGAAGAAATATGGCAGAATTGAGAGGTGAGCTATTTCAAAATTAATCTTTCTTAAGATTACAAAGGCCATCTTCCCCAAGACCCAAATGTGAGTTTTACTAAGACTTATTTATTTCAGCATTGAACATTGTCCTGTGTTTTCTAAAAAGTAGAAATCACAGAAAAACATGGAGAAATATATAGACAGAAATATACAATATCAAAACATTACATGCATGCTCATGCATATACACACACACACACACACAGCACACACAAGGTCTGTTTATGCATTATAGGACTTTTACACTATTTATTTATTTATGGTGGTACTGGGGGTTGAACCAGGGCCTCATGCTTGCTAGGCAATTTATTCTGATTTTAAAACACATTATGCTTTTAAGTTGTAAGAGGCACTAGGCGCTGCTGGAAACTAGGCTGCCATTCAGGGAGGCTCTGCACTGCATGCTGGAGTGAGGGTTCGAGCTGCCTTTCCCTGCCCTCCATAGCTGGGTGAAGCATTCAACAAGCAAAAAATCATGGAGAGATTCTAGTGAAATAACTCAAGCTTCCCACTGTTGCTGTCAACCTTGGGAGTGATGATAAAGATGGAGTTAGGGATATTGGGACAAAAAGAGAATAACCCCCACTCCTCCCCCTAGAGCTCACAACAAGGTTGTTCCTGTGTCCCTCCTCCACAAAGACACCATCTAAAAGGGAGGGCTCAGCCTGATGACATGATGGCTGCCACAATTAGCTTCACCGGGTAGAAACCCTTGGAGTCTTCTGTGATTCCCAAAGTATCTTAAGGACACCTCTGTCTACAGCGCCTTTGGGGAGCATGGGTCCGGAATGCCATGTACCACTAACCCTTTCTCCATAACCCACCAGAATGGCATGGCTAGCCTGCATGCCTGTGGGACCCCAGTAGTCTTATGTCTGGGCCGTCCACCAACCCTGCTCCTCTGAAACACACATTCATGCACACACTAATAAGCATGCCCATGTAAGAAACAAAAAGGAAATTAAAAAATGGAACTCCTTACTGTGGTACTAACCATCCTAGCGGATGGGGGATTTGTCCTACGGTGCCGGGTGATAGCGGGTAATACGGAGATATATCTGGAGGGTGCGGAGGCCGTGGGATTCCTGGGAGAAGAAGCAGCAAAGTTTTAGGTACAGAGGAGGAAGAGGAAGCAAGAATGACTGTTGGGGGCTGGCATCAGGAAATAATGGATTCGCTTCTTGAATTCCAGCATAAGGTCATTCACAAAGGTCATTCGATGGCAAGAGTTGTTACTAGATTTCCACCTCATTTTCCCCAAAATCTCAGTTTGGACAATTAACTAGCTCATTCTAGATGGACTGGTGTATACTGGCTCAAATCAGACTCAGGAAATGCCATCTTGGTAACTTCTACGTCATATGATTGACATGGTTAAGTTAAACAAAAATCTAAAGAGCCTGGCACATAAGTGAACAAATAATATTAATTCCCATTGACCTTCAATTGTAAATGACTTACTTACATGAGTTACTTCTCTCGCTTGTACCTTTTTGTTTTTGTTTTTAAAACAAAGTCTCACTATGTAGCCCAGGCTGGCCTCAAATTCATGATTCTCCTCTGCCTACCGAGTGCAGGGATTACAGGTGTGCCTTCTAACTTATTTTAAACTATGGCTAAGGAAGGTCACCCTAACTTCTTTCAAAAGTGGTAACCCCTCTAGACTGTGAGCACTTCCCCTGAGGAGATGACCTACAAAAAACACCAAATGCCAACTGGTGTCTTATCCTCAGAGGTCAGGACTGAACAGACAGCAAGAAGCTGGAGGCCTGGTGTGTTCAGGTGGAAAACCTTATTCTCTGGAGGACAGAGCCACCTGTGGGTACCAGGTCCCCCTGCTGATTGGGTACCCTGAGTGTCACAGGGGTCAAGAGCCTTCCCAAGGCACACATGAGCTTGTGCATGTGGAAGGCACATGGCACAACACTCCTCCTAATTCCACCAGTTCTCAGGAAGACGGGTGCTGGGAGAAATTCTGATGGAAAGGAGCGGAGCTGAGAAGTTCAAGCAGGAAGCAAATGCACAATGCAGCAGAACTAAAACGGAGTACTGAAGGGAGCAAGCTATGTGTTCATGGATGAAAACTACTTCATTTTTTTCAAAATTCATTCAGGAAGCTTTTAATCTGTAAATTAAGTCTCCCTGGGTGACATTTTCATGCAGACATTGCTTTCTCCCTATTACAAAAACCAAACAGATTAGCTGGGCTTGGACCCTACACTGAGCCATTTGCACACTTGAAAGAATGTTCACAGAGGAAAAGTAAACAGTCCACAGACGTTAATCATATGTTTTACGATAACCCTTTAAAAGCTATTCCCTGGTCTACCATTATTTAAATGAGACATTGATGCTGACATTCACTGACAGAGCCTGGGGCCGGCTGGCTGCCTCCTTCAGCCATGCCAGCGCCAGGCTGGGTCCTATACCGGCACAAAGGGGGCTCAGAAGCACTGAGAACAAGTTAATGTGTGGCTTCTTTCAGTGGCAACGAAGCCCATCTCACCAATGCTAGCAACTCCTTCTAACAAGGGACGTGGAATGAGGATTTTAAATCCATCCTTCCAGTGAACTAGCGGATTTTAAATCCATCCTTCCAGTGAACTAGCGGATTTTAAATCCATCCTTCCAGTGAACTAGCTGGCTAACACACTGTCCAGTGTCAAAGAAGCACCTGGGCCTTGTTCCTTTCCTAAGTTGTGGCCGCTTGCCAGACTTAGCCTTATTGTAGAGAGGGCTACAAGTAACCCTGCCTTCTCTTCCTCTCCCCTCTGGGAAAAACAAACAAAACCACCAATCAATGAACAGTGGGAAGAGGGGATCAGTGTAAAGATTTGGAGGGGTGTGTGGCAGCTTCGGCCTGGGATCCTCTTAGTTGTCCTGAAGCAATGAAGAAACCTAACTGGGCTTTGGTTTTCACATCTGTGAAATGGGCTCAACAATGCCCAAGATATTGGAGGGGGAGGAAGAACCCAACTAGATCAGCAAAGAGAATAAGGAACCTAGAGTTGTGGTCTCTGGAGGCTATACCATAAGTTCCTGTCAAGCAACTGGAGTCCCTTAGAAGCCATATTAGGCCTCTTATCCTTCCAGGAAGCTAAGAGTGAGCCCATAAGATTCTCTCAAGTCTGTCTGGGGAGGTACCCACACCCAGGTTTTCAAGGCAGCCCCCCTTCAGGAAGCCCTATGGAAATCTTATCCCTAACAAATGACAACTCCAAAGGGAAGAGCAAAACCACTCCCTTGCTGGGTTTTGGCTCATCTAGCAGCTTCCTTTTCAGTCCCCCAGAGGGGAATGGGAGCCCCTCCATCACCCCTCTCACTCCGTCCTTCTGTGCCCAAGCTGGGCTCCCTTCAGAGGCCTCCATAGTCCTCTGGAGCTCGCCAGCCTGTATGGTACCAACACCCCAGCCCAAAGCCTACCTGTTTTGGGGTCTACGTCAGCTGGTAAGTGTGGAGGTGGGTTTCCTGGGGTGAAGTGTTCGTTGCTGTAGGTGATGAGAGGCGTGAGTGGGTGAACATGGTGGGGGTGCTGCACCACCGGCACTTTGTTCGACTGTAGGGGAAAGAACAGAGGAAGACACCATCAGACGGCCCCAGCAGCTCAAGACTTCAGAGCACAGGGCCCGTGTCCCCTGCAACACCTCCCACCTTGATGTCGTGAGAGGTACTCAACTCTGCCCGCCCCCTACTTCCCCAATCCATTTAAAAGTAAGAGGTAGTTTTAAGACAGTCTCTGCATTGGTCTGCTTTCACCTCCCCACAGAGTGGCTTTTAAACACCTTCTCCATCACCACCCATCACGGATCCCAAGGGTTTGCACTTTTCCCATCGGTAGGTAAGTCGGAAGTGGGGACTTTAATCTCCCAGGCCTACTGTGCTCTGTACATAGGGGGAATCTCCTACCCCAAGGCCCCATGGCGGGGACCTCCAGGAGGCAGGCTGGCTTCATGGGGACCAGCTAGGAAAATCTTCATTTACAAGAAACCCAGCAGGGCCTGAATCCCACCCACCCTGCCTCCCTGCCCATCTCCTCACCCCTCCCTGCCCTTGGAAACAGCGGGCTGCTGCAACTGTTCACATCCAGCCCGGATGAAAAGACCCACTCAGGCTTTGGGTGGGAGTGTGAACTTTACCAGAAAGCTCTAAGCTGCCTAGCAAGTACCTGCATATTTTATGCAGATTACTCCAGCCCTGATTCATTAGGAATTTCATTAGGCAGTCATCAGGGACCACTAATAAATTAACTGGATGATGATGAATTGGGCTTATAAAAGGTATGCATTTGAGAAATGAGCAGTTCCTAACAAATAAAGTACAAGCATTTTTGTGTTTGGGCAGGGTGAATCTGTGGAGAGAAACAGAAAACAAAGAAAAGAAAAGAATTTTAAACATGTTTCTTGTTGCCATCCCCAGCCCTCCCAAATCACTCTCCTCTCCCCCCCCACCCCAGCCCTGCCCAGTCCACTCCCTCCTCCTCTAGGCTGCGCTATAACTCAGCCCAGCAAGATCACAAAGAAAAAATTAAGCTGAAACAGCGAACTACTGGGCCATTTACTGAGTAATCCAATTGCAAAAAACCCTATTCCCAATAGAGGATTTTCACTAAAATCCTACAACAGGGACATTTAACCAGATTAGGTACCAGCAAAGATAAAGAGGCTAGTATTAGATGATGAATGGATTAGAGTCAAGTTTCATTTTCAAACGTGTCTTCATTTCCTTTTATTACTTTTAGGAAGGCACAACTTGCATTAACATCAAGGAAAAGGAATTGCATTAAAAGAAAAGAAGTCAGGTTCTAGTGCTGCCCACTAGCGCCTCTTGAGCTTAGGGACCACTGAGCAGTTAGGCCTCTCACCATGTTTCGTCTTGTCCTTTTTTTTTAAGTGGATGAGGAAGGCAAAGAACACAAGAATACTTCCTACCACAGTGAAATGTGGAAAAGGCATCTGTAAAAAGTGCTTCTAACTTTTTCATGAGTATATCTGGAAAGAAAAAAAGTGGTCTTCCTAGATGATCCAGAAAGAAACTCACATAAGAACATCTCCAAAGACCTGGCTTACAGACTCCTATAAACACTGGGCTCTTCCACAGAGAAACAATAACTAGTTGCTCACAGAAGCCCGATTACCATTCTGCAATAAAAATAGTTAAGCTAAAAGTCACCAAAGCAGAGTGAACACTGGAAACTAGAAATGTTCCCTTAGAGTCAGCAGCCAAGAAGTTCTGAGTCAGGCTGTAGTTGTATTTCATGGATGCTCAGAGAATGTGTTGGGGGATCCTTTAGGGGAACATTTCTGTTTAGAACACCTCAAGAAAGGATGAATGGATTAGCTCCCATAGGTGGTGGTGCTGGGAAAGAAGGGACAGAGAGAAAGAGATAGGGCCACAGACACAGTGGAGACCATCAGGAGGAAAGGCAAATAACTGCAACTGATTTCAGAAGTTTTCTATTTGGTTAAAAAGATATATCCCTGCTGACATTAAAGAAAGTAGACAGGTTCCAGACACTGTGGGAAGGACTGGGGCATGGCTCAAGTGATATAGCGCTTGCCTAGCAAGTCTGAGGCCCCAGGTTCAATCCCTAGTACCAGGGGAAAAAAAAGAAGGGAGGAAGGAAGGGAAAAGTAAGTCTGGAAAAATAGTGATACCAGGAGAAAGGTTGCAAGACTATCTATCGGGTACCATGGGAGCAGGCCTGCCATAAGCAGTGGAAATAGGTGCACAATCCTCCATGGAGGTGGAGGGGGGCTTGACATGGGCATGGAAAACAGCAGCTGTCAATTCCAGCTGAGTCACACACCTCTCAGGATGCTTATCACTAATGCAGATCCCCAGCTCTAGGAAATCTCTCAAAAGAAACCTGATGCAATAGGTCTGGGCTCAGGACCAGGCATGTGGGACTGCTGTGAAATGCCATGGTTGGTTTTTCTGTTCAGCCTGAATGAGAAGCCCTAGGCTAGAAAATCACATGGGTAGAGGCAAACACAGGCTAAGAGACATGAGTTCTGATCTCACATATTTGATTCATATTCTCTCTCTCTCTCAATCCAGTCCTAGTTGTTAGAGAAGCCAGGAGGAGGGTTTGCACAGATCTAGCACAGGGTAAGTTAATTAATTATGGTGGTTCACTGTCATTGTTATTATTAGGGAGGAGCTGCCTGGTGACATGGTTCTGTCTGCAGGATGAATGGGAAATGTAGGGGAATCTTTCTCCACATGTACAGGGAAAGATGAAGGTAGAATCTGGCTACAGTAAAATAGGTGTAGGATTTAAATTTTAATTCTCTATCTCCCTCTTAGATATATGTGTAAAGGTAATTTTAACAAAAATCTGAACTCTGTGATGGCTGCCTATGCCCTTGTGTTTTTCTGTATACCCAAGCCTAGCCAACTAGTTTTTTCCTGTCCAGTCAGAAGTCTGGAGTAGGAGGTAGCCAGGATGGAAGGGGATTGGAATTTTGGTGCTACTGGCATTAGAAGAAAAAACTGAGAGTCCTGCTAGGGTATGGTCCTCCCTTCTGACCTTAAATGTATGCCAGACATGTCCCTGGAAACAGCGTGACCACTCTCTGTCCACCCTGACTGGTTTTCAAGCAAGAAAAAAGACTTTGCAGTTACATTTGCCAAAGCCAGAGTCTAGCTGCTGCTCTACCCCATCTGCCTACACCTGTATTGCTTTATGATGAAAGATTTTCTTCTGACAAATGCCCGTGACTCTCTAGCCTCAGAATCTCACAAGCCTTCCTTTTTACATCACATTCTGCCCATTGCTGGGGTGGGGTATGCGCCTTTCTTGCCCCACTGTACCCAAGTTCCTTAAGGACAAGGACTGTGTCTTCTACAACTTTGTGTCCCCTGCAATGTCCCACCCGTGAGAGTGATGAGTACCATCCCAAAAACTGCATAGCAACTACCAAACCACAACTGAGCCATGACACAGAGCATCACGTGGACTCATTTCAAGTAAAGGCTGGGCTCTTTCAATGTGGTCGACTTGAAATCAGAAACAAGGATGGATGGTCCTTCTGAAACCATCCAGCCCAGTGTTCTTACAGACACCATTCAGCTACACGGATACCTCTGAAATGGTTTCATAGCCTGTTGACTTCACACAGGGACCAAGAGTGAGGGCTGTGAATTCAAGGAAGACACGGGTATCAATTTTATTTCCCCAGTTTGGCTGGGTAACCATTCTGTCTCTCCTCTCTCCTATCTATCTATCTATTTATCTATCCACCTACCTACCCACCTACCCACCTACCTACCTACCTACCTAATCTATCTCTGGGTTTCATTTCTGTCTCTATAAACTCGGGGTAAGTATTGTATCTACCTCACTGGGGTGTGAAAATTGGATGACATCATACATACAAAGTGCTCAACACAGTGCCTGGCACACAGATAAACATGCAATACAAAACAACTTTGCAAAATGCATCCAATGACTATGACTGACAATGAGGTTGGCTGCCCTCACTCATAGTCTTTGCTAATTAAATTCATAGGGAGAACATGGCCCCAATCGGCACCCACTGTTTCAAAGTAAGGATGTCACTATGAGGCAGGAGTGAATAGTGGCCTGTGGCTACCCTACCTCAGTCACATACCCTTCTTAAAAATGTGGTACTTAATACAAATATCTTAATATTTCTTGTGAGAAAAATCATCACTTTCCTATGCCAATGAATAAGATTGCCACAGAGGAACTTGAGAGTTAAAAAGATACTTGGAGATAGACAAAAATCCTTCCAGAATCAGAACAAGGATCTTAAAGAGCTAAAGTAAATGAAAAAAAAAAAAAATTCAAATGGCAAGAAGGTCTTTCAACTTGCTCCTTCTCCCTGAACAGCTCCCAGTCCTTCCAAGAAGGACTTTAGGAGTTGTGCTTAAAATTGTCCCACCTTAAGAAAATCCAGGTGTGGAAAGTAACTTTGCTGGGGGAGGGTCACAGTCAACCTTCCAGAAATGTATCATGGGAACTAAATTAAAGCAACAGTCAATGCTCTGGGGGGGTGGGTGATGGGGGTGCTAAACAGCCTGAAATATTTGTCCTCTTCCCCTTTAATGTTTTTATAGACAAAGTCCAACATTCAAGGCACCCAACTATAATATAAAATTATTACCTTTTAGGTAACAACTTTACTTAAGTGTGTCTTCAGAACTACCTGGGGTACAAATCAGTGACAGCTAGTAATGTTCAAGGCCATGGTGGTGACAGTCAGGGATGCCTCATGAAGGGCCTAAGACACTTTTACTTATTTCACCCTTTGAGAATGAGAACTACGAATCTATGAGTTGTAAAAACAAACATAAAATATTTCACATAATTTCAAGGCTATCCATATATACTAACACCCTGACCACCTGAAACTCACTCAGGGAGCCACTTCAAGCCCCTCGTCTGGATGGTCCAAGTACCACACCAAAGCACTGTCAACCCACCTCAGCGCAGCTCAGCTGTCCCCACTTAAGGAACAGGGTGATAAACCAGCTTCTTTCTATGTGGAGCACGGGATGCATTCATTCTATTAACAACAAACCTACAAATGC